CAGCGGCGGATGTGTTGTCCCTTCTGGTGACAATAATCCACCTGGTACTGTGAGCTGTCAGATTGTTCTCCATCTTGTTATAAGATACGTACAAACAAGCAGAGTTTCATTTTACTTGTTTGCTCATGGTTTGTGTGTGTGACTGTTCAGGTGAGTGACGGGTTGGGGGTTAAAAACAGGCCAGGGTTAGACAATGTCAGGTTAGTGTACTTTCCTGCTCACAAGTTTCTGTATCCTGCTGCTCCACCCATCTGGTATGACTTGCATAAAACAAACCACAAATGATGCTTTGTTCCACCAGACATCGCTCGGAAAAACACTGTAAGCTGCTCTTACAACATGACTGATTAAGAAAACAGTTGTACTTATTTAAGGATAGTACAGTGATGATTTAAGGAGAGATCCCAGACTAAGAAAAAAAGCTGATGTGATTCTTTGTTTAGTGTGATATTTGACTTTTTTATGCTGGTAACCTGTCAAAAGTAGAAGATATAAGAACATATGTATGTCAGATTGTGGTGTCGAGTTCCTCGGAATAAATACAATAACCAAAATCTTATTTCAGGAAACATAATTTTGCACAGATCAAAAAATCCACTTGATGAAGTGTCCTCTAGGGAGTCCTTCCAGTGGAGAAACCCCAATAAAGTGTCCTCTAGGGTGTCCTTCCAGTGGAGAAAACATGATGAAGCCTCAAACAGCCTGAGTCCGCCACAGCATCTAATAATTGTCACTAAAATATTAGTCAGAGGATCCCCAAAGTCAGTAGCAGTCATCATCTGAGGACCATGGTTGTTACAATGTCGGTCTGGACCCGAGTGGCAGACTGACAGACTGGAGGCAGGCCTACAAACAAACAAAAACAGATGGAAGTTTCAGCATCTTAAAATCACTCACCACGTCAGCCTCGTCATCATTATTTGCTCAGAGTTTACACAAATAAGTACCTCCATAAAAAACGAGGAGGTATTTTCTCCCTGCCAGCTTTGTAGAACATAAAGCCGAGGTGGGCCTGGATTACACTGGGCAAACTCCTGCTGGCCTCACAGCTTCCAACTGGAACATCTTTTCCATTTGCACACTGGTGCACCATTCCAAGACATTACAGCATCCCAGTAAAAACACACACACTCATTCACAAAGAGGGCTACAATAAATTGGAGCAGGATGAATTATTCAGTGTTTCTCTCGGACCTCATGGACACTGCTTTTTCAAAGTCACAGGGGACCCTCCGTACGATCACGTCGGAGCTCTCCATATGCCCCAGCGATGCATCTATCAGCCCTAAACATATTCTGCAGGTTCGGGCCGAGTTCTCAGGCTCGATCCTGTCTCCCTGCCCAGACGAGGGAGTCATCAGGATCCATCCGAGGCCCCGATGTAGAAAGCAGTTGGCAGACTTCACCGTGAGGGTGTGTGACTAAATGCGTTGCTGAGCAGTCGGGCTGTTGTGATTCTGTTACTCCATCTGGCTCGGCTCAGTGTAGGAAGTCCATTAGCAGGACAAGTAACAGTGTGGGTATTCTCCAGTGCCTCAGCCCCGAGGATAATGGGCCTATCTGGGAAAGGACTTCCAGATGAGAGATGGGTGATGCTGAATGTCCATGAATAGATAAGTATAGCCATTCTTCTTCATTTATGGGAGCAGGAAGAGGAAGTGCTTTAATCTAAAATGTCACTTGTATTTTAGAAAAGAAATTTAACAAAAAAAAAACCCTAATATCTTAAATAAGCTCACCATATGCATATGTGCTCAGGCTCTAAAGATACCTGTAGGTGTATCGTATTTCTGACAGTGTCAATTGATTTTTTTAATTGGCTCATGTTTCATACTTTGGAAGTCCATTACTGCCAGGAAAATAATAATAATGAATTAACATTAATAATAATCAATGAGTACAATTTTAAAGGATAAGAAAAAGATCAAATTTAACTCAATATTTAAAATTATACTTTTATATTATATAGGATTTCATAATTGTAAATCTCATAATCATACTTCTGACTTAAACAATCATAACTCTCATAATCATGACTCACTATATCAGTATACTAAGTCACAGTTAAGAGATATTAAATCAAAATTTGTATTATGTCAACATTAAGATGTTTTATGTCAAATTTATGATTAAAAAATCTAGTAAATATTCATAAATAACTACACATTTCACAGAATAAATCATAATTTTGGCTTCAAAATTTTATTAAACATTTTATTAAGTATTTATAGTTTGTTTGTTATTAAAAATTGTATCTTTCAACTTGACTGACTGACTCAAAATGACTTTATTTACTTATTTTCCTCCTGGCTTCTGTATGTTTGGATAACATTTTTCTATAGTCTTATAGAATCTAAATGTAAGCAAAAATAAGATGTTAACACTTAGACAGTAAATACCAACAGCACCGGTTTGAACATCTGCCACACAGCGTGGTATCAAACCACACACACACACACACACACACACACACACACACACACACAAACACAAACAAACATGAGTGGAAATGTTTATTTATTACTGATTAAAGCCAGACAGACAAACAGATGCGTCGCCCCTCAGATTCAAATAACTTCAGCGAGAAATGTGTCATTAATGCTCTCAATCTTTATACAGTATACACACAGTGGTACAAATGTTCCCACTTAAAAAACACAAGTTCAGAAACAGTCTTAGCAGAGAATGTGTGCAAATCTTTACAGGTGAGGAGGAAGAGGAGGAAGAGGAGGAGGAGGAGGAGGAGGAGATACAGATGATGCTACAACGTGTGTTAAAGTTAACTTAATGTTGCAGGATTTCTCCAAACTAGTCAAACCTTTAGATTTAGTGGTTAAAACTGTTGTAACTGTTCCGAGTGTCGCTGAGCAACAACAACACTGTGCATCCCGACTCAAACATACATTCATTGTATTATTTATTTCCAATAAACTGTGGAGTCCTGCTTCTTGAACTACCTCCCCAGGCGTGCGGTGAACAGACACATTTTATAACAATATTGCTATTAAAATGCACACATCGATCATAGGTTCAAAGTCATTCGCTTTAGTTCCAGTTCTTATCACGCGGATGTGCAATTTGACAATAAATAAACAGGACATCCACTTTTAAAGTGCCGTACTACTGTGACCTGTCTTAAAAAAGTGAGACTATATAACTTTTTTCCAAGAAGAAACAACACAATCTTCCTCTTACAAATAAAAAGTTGAATTCAAAAGCAATAAAATGCTCAATTCAACCCACACAGGAGATTTACCGCTGCAGCCTTGCTTGGACTGGTTTGTCCGGTAGCTCATGGTTGTTAATGTTAGTCGATATATTTATGACTCTTGGTTACAGTAGATGTAAGGCTGCAACTAACAATTATTTTCATTATAAATTAATCTGCAGTTAATTTTCTCAAATTAATCATTTGGTCTATAAAATGTTTAAAACAATAGTGAACAAAAGCCAAAATGACAAAGAAAAGCAATAAATCCTCACATTTAAGAAGCCCGAACCAGTGAATTCTGTTTGATAAAATGACTGAAACAATGAATAAATTATCAAAAATAGTTAACAGCAGATTAAACTACTTATCAGGGTTTCCCCCTCTGTGTGATTATACTGCCACTGCCACATGTGGCCACCTTTACTGCTGTCTGAAAGTTACATAGTCTCACTTTAAATGAGTTCTACTTCATAAACTTTGAATGTCTTGCAAAGAAAAAAAAACAAAAGATTACAAAGAAGATTGGATGAGAACTTAAAACGATGCATTAAAAAGGTCCAGTGTGTAAGATTTAGTGGCCTCTAGCAATGTAGTTGCAACTTCCTCACTTCACCCTCCCCCTTTTAAGCGCTATGGTGGCTGAAAGTTGCTATCTAGAGCCACTGTTTGGTTTGTCTATTCTGGGCTACTGTAGAACCGACAATAATCAAAACATACTTGTTAATTTTATACCCCATTTCTGCCAATAGATCCTCCTAAATGTTACACACTGGAACCTTTAAATAGAGGATGCTATTATACATAGTGATAATAATACTAGCTGCAGAAGCCGCCTCAAATGTTTAAATAAAAAAGAAAAACATGCTGTAAGACGAAGGCTGTTTTGCTTAGTACCAGTCCATGCTAACAGGAAAAAAATCATGAGACATCTGACTTCACTGTAAGTACAATCTTCTGAGTCACAAAAGGCATTTAACAGTACTCCTGCAGAGTGTATATGGCATATCAAGCAGTGACTGAGGCCTACACAGCGTTACAGGAGGGGTTGGGAGACCGAGAGAGGCAGGAAGAGGGAGACAGAAAATACAAAATAAAACTGCAGACGAAGGCTTGTAATCATCTCCTGGTGAGAACGAGCACTAACTTCTGTTGTTACAGCTCTTTTTCCTCTGGGCGTCTGTCAATAGAGCCCATTTTCTTCCGAGGCGACGTGTAGGGCAGTGAATCCCTTCTAGCGTTACAGTGACACATGCTTTTCAAATGTCAGAGTCTACCTCCCTCTTTCTCTTTATTTCTCCCCTCCTGTTGAGCGACCCCAGACATTCCTCCTGTTACTTCATGCACAGAGAGAAAGAGAGTCGCAGCCTTTTGCTTTCAGGAGGAGGTCCTGTTCTGCTCAGCTGTTAGAGCATGACAACAACTGCGCCCAAGGTTAACTCAAGTTTTAAAAAAAAAAAAAAAACGTCTGCGCTTGAAGCTCTGCAAGGTGCTTTGGATACAAGCGTCCGATTCCACAGCCTGGCCATTAACCCGTGCACTTCCAACATTCAGATGCATTTCCAGTTCAAAGATGTCCGAGCATTGAAATCCGCAGAGAGGGATGGGGGGGGGGGTTATTTATTAGTAAACAGTCAGTGTCAGGTGGCGCCGTTACTGCTCAGTGGGACACATGTTGCGGTCTTTGCAGCAGAAGTAATGCACCACCACGCCGTTGGGATACCTGGCAAACGCACTGAAAGAGAAACAAATAGAGAATGCTTTACTGCTGGAAGGATTATTACTCACTGCATCACAGCAGATAAACAAGTGTTTAATTAAAAAGAAGAGAGAAAACAGTTAAATAAAAATGAACAGGGTATGAAATGAACTGCAGTTCAGAGCATAAAATTGTGTTCAAGTTAATAAAACTGCAGGAACATAATTATCTGATAAAAGAACATGAAGGATATAAATCAGAAGATGGTATTAATACATTGACGGTGTCATATGACCTTTAATAACTCTTAAGAAAATCAGTTCACTTTTTCAAGATTCACACATTTGTCACACAATCGTATTATAAAATATGAGCAGTGAAAGGAGGGGAGGATGTGCTAAAAGACTAATGTGCAATAATAATAATTAGAATAAGAAGGGAAAAAAGGATAAGTGAGTTATATATAATATATAAATTAATGTAATATACGTATGTGTGCACATTTTCATAGTTTTCTGAGACAGTGTTACCTGTTCCCGATTTTCTTCTTGCACACCCTGCAGGTCTTCTCCTCTGTAATCACACATTTAACCTGCTGGTGGAAGATTCGCTCCTCCTGCACCTGAGAATACAGAACACGCCAGGTGAGCCCAGACATCTTGTTTCTGTGTTACCTGTGGGCTAGATTACAAGGTAAAAACCCTTCATCTGTCACACTAAAACCACCTTCGTCAACCTTCACCTTCAACGCAAACATTCAAAAATACATCCTGACTCTTATACGGTACACTTTCACCTCTTCAGTCCACTAAAAGTAAAAGTCCGACATATCTTTCCACCATTGAATGTTTGTTTGGTTGCTTACAAGCTAGAGTGCAGGACAAGACATGTTTGTAAATTAGATAAGAAGGAGACTTTAGCAGGAATGTAATGCGAGTTGTTGTTTAAAGTCTGTGGCTCTTGTGTTGTGTACCAGGCTGCCGTCTGACGGTTGGTGGTAGTTAACTGATGTCACTGCAAATGACTTCTGGAAAGGGTTTGACAGGCTGTATAGAAGCAAGTTCTCCATGTACGTACAGAGAGAACAGTTTCTGATTGTCTTTCTCAGAAGGAGAACAGAGTACATGTGATTCACTGATCAGATGTGTATGCTGTAACAGACAATTTAATTACAGTTGGAGGGAAAAATCAATCTTTTAACTGAAATGCTCTCTGTTAACAGACATGCAACCTGTGACCAGGGGCAGTAAATAGACCGTGCTTTGTTTTAAAAAGGGGTCAGATGAGGCACGAAAACCCAGAGACTATCTAAACGGTGCTCTTTCATCCGTTCCTGGCAGTGCTCACTCCAACGGCTATATAACACATCATATCGCATCCTACGTGCACCAGAGGATGTTTCACTGTAAAATCAATTATGGTATAAAGGTTTCACAGGTGCAGGTAGAACCGCTACTACGCTACATCATCTGGAAATTGATGAAATACAGCATGTTTAACATAATACAACATATACTTCAGCAATAGACACTGGAGCAGAAAGTTGCTGAATTTATCTACATTGTTTAAATCATCAATTTCCTCTCTAACGGTTAACGTTTGAATGGTCATACGGTTCTGACAATTTGTCCTTCAACCTGAGAGCTTTAGTTCTCTCTACTGAAATTTGAATCTAATTTACATGAACCACCGTGTAAACAAATCCTCCAGGACTTACCCTGAGGAACTCAGCCTGCAGCAGACTCTTCAGCACCTGGTTGCAGCGTTTCCTCTGTGCCTTCTCCTCCAGGACGCTCTCCAGGAAGACCCGGATCTCTCGGATCTGAGTGTTTGCTGGGAGCAGATTGATGGCCTGGAACAAACAAAAAAGGTTGGCTCATTAAACACTGTTGACCAGACATTATTAGTGGATTGGATGGAGGAAACGTCCCCTTTCAGAAGCAAATTACATTCGCTTACACAAGTATAATTTATCAAAATGAGCATCTTCTCTAGCGGTGGTGGTAATCTTCGTGTTTTGGTGAAACACAGTTGTGAACTGAACTGAGGGAACAGTTATAAAGACTTCAAATAAAGTAATTTCCACATTCATTATATTAATTCAAAAAGAACATAACTCAATCATCTCAGTAATAATATTAAATTAAATGACTCTCTCTTTGGAACAGTAATCGGCTGTACGACATGTTAGACCGCTGTTAACGGGCATCCCCGACGTTGGCAGCAGCATCTTCTCTTACCTTTAGAAATCAGGTCTGTGTAAATGCTGAGGGAAACACAATCAAGGCCCTGTAGTCCCGTTGTCCTCTCGCTCGACTTAATTAAATTAAATTAGTGCAAATAGCCTCGTTACACCTCTGACAGCGAGCTTTCCTCCTGAGTAACTGCTGAGGAACAGAGGTGGGGTTCTGTTTTTCACTATTTTCAGGTAATTTATCGACTAAAAGGAAAAAAAAAAAAAAGTATTGATGAAAATTATCTATAGTTGCAGTTCTAAACAAGAAATCGTTTAAAATGAGCTCAAAATTATAAAGAAAAAATGACTAAAAAACGCACACAAAGACTGCTTCATGCTGGAAGTTTTTCATAGTCTCGTCTTGTGATCTCTTGGCGAGGCGTGGGCTGGGAGGGAGGCCAGGGGGAAGGAAAGCAGGGGTGCCATTAAAGTCAATGAGGGAGCGCAGGGAAGGCAGAATGGCACAAAAAGACAAGATGGAGAGCTCCTGGCTGTAGACTCTAAACCTCAACATTCACATAAACCTGCAGTGTTCTCCTTGAGAGACTCTTAATTTGACATGTCTGTGGCTGAACACAGATCAGCGGGGCCTTTCACACACAACCACATCCACTTTAAATCACAGATACAACAACAGTCTGTTATGGTGCATTTTACAAGGAGAAGAGAACAGATAAACTCGCTTGTTTTGTTTAATTAAAATATTTTTTGAGACACAGCGGAGGCGTTTCAAAGGCCGTGCCTCTGCTCCTTTGTGATAAGATATGGAGAGACAGAATATACAATCTGCTGAGTGTTTCCGTCTCAACGTGAACTCTCTGGAAAGATTTTTTTGGATTGTATTGAAAAACGTGTTCTTCGAGGGATATCTTCTTTTACTAGACAGCAGTCGGTGGATTGCGACACGGAGGCTTGAAAAAGGCAAAATAGGCCGTGAGCTAGTTTAGAGCAGAACAGCTTTCATTCAATTAACTCTTTGCTATTTTGGTTCTGGGTTCAGGTAAGTAGAACCAGGTATATGAAAGGAATTTCATAAAAAGATATTCACATTTGCAACGCAGACGCCTCTCGAGGGAGATCAGCACCCTGGTGGAAATCTTTTTTGGTTTCGCTGGATCTTTTCTATCACAAAGGCAGCAGCTTGATTGCCCCCGACAGCGAAAACCCCTCTCATCCCGCTCTAAAAACAAACTAAATCAAAATTTTTAAACGAGTTGTGTTCAGTTCAGTCGCTGCTTTAATTTCACACAAAATGCCAAAATGACTAATTCTGTGAGAGCGCGTGTCATCGTTAATCATGTTATTCTATCTCATTTTAATCCAGCCTAAACAAGCCGACTCTTATCAGTTTCACTTTCAATGCCACGTCTTGTTTGAATAAGCAATGATTACTAAATTTAAGCGATGGCACAGAGTCAGCTTATAATAATAAAGCCCTGGGTGGAATTACAGACTAATTCTTGCTTTCTGATTTAATGAGCGGTTTGAAGTAGCAGATGGGAGTTTGCCGCATACGAAAGTTGAATTAAAGTGCAATAATTTTATGCACACATCACAAGTACTTTTCTGTGACTGACAACTTCCTTGACATTGTTTGAAAGAACAGAATTATTTGTGAGTATTACTGGGGTTTGTTCTCGACTCAGCCTGGTGAGGAAAGGAGTGCTGCTCTGCTGTCGTTTACCTTGGTGGTGTTGAGCTTGCTGTGGTGCAGCTCCAGGACGTGCAGGGCCGCCTGCAGGTTGGCCTGAGGCTCTGACAGCTCCATCTTGATGGGCCCCAGGCAATGGACGTCAGGCGGTGACAGGTACATTCGCAGCAGAGACAGATAAACCTGAAGGGAAGAAATACAGCTGTTATTACACATTTTATCTGAATCTGAATCTTTTTTTTATATCACACAAGACAATAATAAACAGCAAATAACAACAGATGAAAAAACTGATTTACTGAATTTACTGACAGTAAGATACAATAAGATCATATTTGCCAAGTTACAAGAGAAAAATGATTCAAAATGGATTTAAAATGTCAGAAACATAATGAAAAACTGTAATGAACTCAAATATTGTATTGTATTTCTACTGTGGGATATCTTTTGGAATACTATTTGTGGAAATTTCGTGTGTATTTAGTTACGGTTTATGTATTTTGCTGTTAGATGGAGGGTTAACGTGCCAGAATGTTAGTTAGTTAATGTGACTGAATAATGAGGGATGGGTCATGTAAATGACCAGACATGGAAATAAAACATTCTTTCACATAAAAATAATATAAAAGAAGTTAGTAGCAGGTGAAACATGTTGAGTTTACATGTAGATATAGTTCAATAATTTGGGAAAATACACTTTACCAAAGGGTAAAAACAAGATATAACGTGTTAATTACTGAACTTTAGCTATGCTGCTCGGACCGAGCCGGGCTAGCTGTTGCCAGTCTTTATGCTAAGCTAAGCAAATAGTATTGATCGAGAATGGTATCAATGTTCTCATAAAAAGGGAATATTTCCTTAAAATCAGCCTTTAATATTGGATTTAATATTAACAGTAGACTTCACACACAGGCAACCAATATTCGTTCTATCTTTCTTTCTTTCTTTCTTTCTGACCTTTACAGGAACAGTAATGACTCACTGATACAATCCAAAGCTTATTCATTAGTTTTCAGTATTTTAACATCAGTCAGAGTCGAACAACATTTTATACACATAACAGACAATATCAGCTGTCATTTCTGTGAGATTAGTTTTTTTTCGTAGAACTGGCAATGTGCCTGTCATTGGGTGTTTGAGCCATAAATAATCCATTATATTTGTATAGCAGTTTCTGCAGACACAAAGGCACTTAGCTGAAGGCAGCAGAGTGTACAAAATGAAAAAAGTGGTCATAAAACAAAAACAAACACAACAGAGCTAGAATAAAACCCAAGTGGACACAACAAACACTACAAAAGTGAGGTGGATGAGGTGAAGAAACATTTTTTTTTCCCCTGAACAATTAACAAATCATGATGAAAAAGCTCTAAAATAAAATAAGATTAAAAGCTACTTACATCTTTATTCCCTTCGACTGAACTGTTGTAATGGCCGTGACAGTATCTGCAGAGCACACACAGAAAATCATGAGTGGATAAAATGCTGCTTATTTCCATCATGTTGACCAATTGGCTTAATTTGATCAATGTTTGCTGCCTTGCAGAACAAGCTTGCAATTAAATGATTTCAGATGATTTCAGGTCAGAGAACAATTTATTGACTGTTCCGGACTCTTTTACAGTCAGAAGTTAATTAGTGCTGGAGTTAGCAAACATTCGGCTTGTGGTTGGTGTGTAGGATTCTGTGGTGTTTGCAGGAATACTCACTCTTCAGCCATGCGAGTGTCCTTCAGGATGTGCACATAGATGAAAAGTGCCTGCTCGTGTTTACCCATCCGACCCAGAAGCAGAGCCCGTTCCTCCAACAGGCCTTGGAGATGGAAAACAAGGTCAAAAGGTGCAAGTTACACCCTTCAGCTATATAACTTGACTAAAACGTTCCTCTATAACGGAGAACACATGTACATGAGGTAATAGGAAATACTTTGTTTTCCTTAGGTGCATGTTACATTTATCCTGATATTAAAATCTGTGGTTTACTTTGAATTTCCAATAACAGCTAATTATCTTGCATACCCAAGATTTAAATGCTTAAGACATTATCATCACAAAGGATCATCAGCTTCATTAGAAACCTACATAATCTTTGTATTTGTTAAGGTTAGAAGAGACGTCTTGTTTGTCCACTGTGTAAACACGGTTCTTACCATCAAAGGGAAAGTCACTGATGAGTCTGGCTGGTTCATAGCTGGTGGAAATATCCAGGAAGGACAGCAGCTTGTTCCTGTACTCCCCCAGCTCACCTTTCTCCTTCCCCGCAGCAACAGCAGGAACTCCTACGGAAGGCAAAGAGGTTTTAATTATAGAGTCTAGAGGTGCAAACACTGGTTGAGCAAGCTGATTAATCTGCAACAGTTCTGATAAATCAACTAATATTTTTTTTTTTTTTTTAAAGCAAAAATGCCAAAAATTCTGCTTCCACCTTCTAAAAAAGTGAATATTTGCTGCTTTTCTGTGATAGCAAAGTGAATTTCTTTGTTTTTTGTTCTTTGATTCTTAATAAAGTAACTGAGAAAATGATTGACAACTTGACAATGATAATAATCCTCATCCTTGATTTAAAGGCACCTGTAGAGTTTTTAACCACTAGTTGCGCTCTGGACTAATGTGTTTCTCCTTCCTTGTTTGTAATGCGCACCTCGCCCACGAGGATACACATACCCAAGGATGTGGACGGTGTGGTTCACATCCTGCCACTGGTTTCACACTATTCCACAGATCAGCAAGCAAACATCGACGTATGCAAACACTTTATGAGGAAGGAACGTACGTTTTCAGGTTTTCTTTTTTAAAGTAAAGCTCCAAAGGAAAACTCAACAAGGCACATTTGAGGTCAACCTGAAAATGTACAACTGCTGCTTAAAGAGGCTTGAATATTTACAAAGTCAGAATGCAGTAATGTTGAACGAGGTCCGATTTCATTGCTGATTATCTCATAGAAACAATATCATAATATCCCAGGCTGTGTACTGCAATATGCTTCATAACATAAAACGAAGCAATAACCTTCCCCCAGGACAGATTTACTTATTTTATTAGTTGCTTTTATTAGTTTATTTCTCTGACAGAGTGTGCATTAATGAGCATCCCTGTAAATGTAGCTGCGTTGGCTGAGAGGTTCATTTCAATACACGGTCCCTGGATGATCATTAAAAAGGCACAAACGGAGAAAGACGGATGAACTTCAGAATAAGTCCCGACACAGGCTTGTTTTGCAAAGAGACAACTATGACTGGATGAGTAAACAAAGGCAAACTAAACCCACATGCAGTGATGTAATCACATGAAAATCCTGCAATAAATTAGAATCATGTTCATTTGGCATTAATTTGATTTCCAAAAAATGGAGGGTAAAGAAAATATTAAAGCCCAACAGTCACATTGCCCAATTACACATTTCCATCTAAAGAATTCCCTTTCTGGCTTTGCTTGAGCTATTAATCATCGAATGTTAAATATCTGTCAGTACCTCTAATTACCGATCTGTATTAGCCCTTAATTTCTTGTAAAAACATCTAAAAACATAATTTTCATAATTTTTAAAGTAGAAAAAACAAGTTACAGTAAAACTTTTCATGCATTTTTAAGGACCCACTGATACTTTAAACTGCACATAATTTGACTTTAACATTTGCTCTTACCTTCTGGCAGTGAGTTGAGGTACTGTTTCATTAGGCTTTGAACCCTCTCCAGGTAGAGCTGGATCAGCACATTGTGAAACTCCGGGCCCTTATCGTCCCACACGTAAATGATGTGCTCCAAATATGGGATGGCGAGCTCCTTAAAGCCCTCCTTCAGGAAGTTCAACACTTTATCTCTGGGCAAAGTCTCCACCTCAGTCAGGTCCTCGGTGAAGATCTGGAGAGGAAGAGAGATTTTTAAACCTTCTTCACGATGAATAAAATCATAAAATATAGTTAGACCTTAAAGAGAAACCGACTGTCACTGTGATAACTGGAGGTTATGGGAGTTAGAAAAGGTACAAAATAAGAACGAGCTTCTGCCTATAACCAAACAGCAATAGATACAAAAACATAAAGCAATTTACAACACTGATATGCTTTATATAAAACAAAAACAAAAACTGTGTCCCACCTTCAGACCATCCTCAGGACAGATCTTCAACACCCAGGGAGAAAACTCAAAGATGATTCCCAGATTCTCCACTCCTGTGTGTGGAGGATTACAATAAATCAGTAAGTTTAACTTCACCAAGGAAACTCAGAGGAAAAAAAGCTAGAGATATATCACCATCAGCCACCAGTTTCAGAAAACTTCCATTCAAATCAATAACTTATTCCAACCAAAATGTATTGATTTATTGCCATAATAAAATATTAAAGTATTTTTTCAGCAAAAAATCTTGGACAAAAAAAGACATCTGAAGGTATTTTTTATCTTAAGAAGGTGTTGTTGTGTTTGATGATAAAAACTTATTTGTGGTAGCTCTCCGAAAATGGACTGATAAGGATCATTACTCCAAGTTTAATAGCTTTTTTGGGGTGTCATTTGTTTGTAGTTGGTAGAAAACAGCAAAACTATGCTGTATACATTGTTATTAATATATGTATTGCTTTATTACCCATTATCGGTATTACTGGCCACCGCTAAGCATTAAACAAATTAAAGAACAGCCAAGGAGGCAATGAAAGCCTCCACACAGCTTTTTACAGTTTTTGCCAATAGGTCTTATTTTCAATTTACTGGATTGTTCTGAGTTTAACCACATTCTGGGAAACAGGTGAAAGGCTGATAAACAAAAACAACATCAGTCTCAACATGTTTTTTTCTACAGCAAAGAGAAAACCTTCAACCTGGAGAAACAATATCCTCTTTGTGACCAAACACAGTGCTTTTAAGGGAAAGTGGTTTAAATTATAACAAAATGCTGGCACTACATATAAAACTGGTATTTAAAAAAGGCCTTAAATCATTCACATCATGGGCTACAAGAGACATTTAAATGATCTAATCATTACGCTACAGTGTCACAATTGATTAAAAACCAATATATTTAACAAAAGAACACAGAGCCCCTTTTAACAGCCAACTCTCGGTGAGTACATGCATTAATCTTGGCATCACTGGTGCACAGTTACAAACTATTCAGTGTTACACAGTGAATACAGACACATATGGTATAAAAACCTCACATTTAGTCTCTGCCAGACATATTAAAGTCTGCAAGTCATGACATGTGACAGAACGCAGACGATATATTTCATCCAACATCCACAATTAATCAGGGTGAAAGTTTTCTCAGAGCCTTTCCCAAAATCACCCTAACAAATTTAACATATCTAACGGAGACGACAACTTTGACGCTAAGCTGAAACAGACTTGAGCTGGCCGTTGATCCTTACCCAGCCTTTGGAGGTACTGCACTGTTCGCTCGTGGCCCTTCAGTGGAGAGTTGGCCTTGGTGGACTGGTCCAGCAGCACCTGCAGAGCTGCGAGAGGGCAAACAGGGTGAGGAAAAGTGAGGGGAGGCGAGTGAGAGGGGAGAAAATGTGACATTAGTCTTGTGTGATGAAAGTAGCAAGATGTCATCTACTCTGGTGTGCACTGCATTGCATAATTCCTCTGTCAACAGAAATTGGACGAAGCACATGCGGTGTTAATTGGTGGACGGGAGCAGCTGGTTTGAATTGGCAGAGATAAAGAGAGAGGCAGACTTGAGCAGCATGACATCACAAGCACAAATTGCAGAAGGCCGATTAAAACCAGCCGCGCTCACAGTGAGAGCGGGCCCAGAATCTGCTGCAGAACACAGCCAGAAACCAAATGACATTAGGACAGCTCTGATCTACGAGGATGACGAGTCGACCACATGCAGGAAACCTCCTCTGAGATAAACTGTGTAGCCCGACAGAGCTGATCCACCCCCGTGCCCAGAATGCAGATTTGTTACAAGCACATAAACGGTACCTATTGAATTCAAACATAATGGAACAATTCATGCTTACAATGGCACTTGTATTTGGATTGGGAGGTAATGAGGAGAGCGCTGACAAAGGCCGATGTAGGTCTGGCATCAAGTGATCCGTCATTTAAATACTAAACCCTCAAATTCAACATCAATTTGAATGTGAAATTGGAAGCAGATGTTTCATTGTGTTTTATTGTTTTGTGTTCGGTTGTCATGCTGACAGATAAACCGCACTTTGAAAAATAAAACTGAACTCTGATATCAGTCATTATCCAGTTGATTGACTCATCTATTGTCTGCTGCCTGATGATTAACTGCACACTCCAAAAACATCAGAAAAACATCAGAAATGTAATTAGAAAGTGATTCTCCATATTATTATTTTCCTTTGAAAAGTTGAATAAAATACAGCTCTAAGTCCTACTTTCAACATTTTACTTAGTTAAGCACAAAATAACCCATTAGCAGCAAAATGTATTAAAAGCACCAAAAGTGTTGCAGCATTTTAACACAGCTGGTTGAGATGAAGCTATATTTATATTAACTTATACTTCTGGTTTATCCGCTTCTGTTTAATGTTCTTGTTTCTCACGGTCATGTGCTTTTTAATATATGTTCTACCTTCTACTTGCGTATTCAGCTTAAAGTGGCTATTAAAAAAGCCCATTTGAACTTGCACTTAATCTCAAAATATCTTGCCAGATTTCCAGGGGAGCCATCAACAGCTGAAGAAGGTGTATAAATCCCCACCATTTCAAATTAATTAATACGCTTCACACGTAAAAGAACCCATAGAAGCACAGTTCAGTACAAATATACAAATAGACTTGGCATTAACAGCATGTTTCTGAGACAAAGTTGTGTGAAAAGTAAGAACTGCTTTTTACATAAATTGTCTTGACAGCAGATAATTTATTTTGTTTGTGTGAATGCACAAAAGAGGCATCAGATGTATTGATTATTAATAATAAAACAAAAATAGGAAAAATACATTTTACAATTAAAAAAAGCTGACAGTTTTCCGATCTTAGCTCACAGAACTGGATACAAAGTCTACAAGGTTTAACTTTTTTGCTGTGAATCACTGGCTATTCATGAATGAAAAGAGTAATGCATAACTGCACAATGACTCAAAACCACAAATTTATTTATATGGACAGCGTTTAGATTCCCAGAAGTCAGATCTTCATCAGGTCAAAATGTTTGAAAATGACCACACCCATATGAATATATAAATGAATAACTTGCTGAAATAAACATTAAACCAAAAGGGTACTGTAGGAGTTCAGAGACAATATTTAATATAATATTATTATGAAGAAAAATAAAGTTGTTTGAGCTGCCCGTTTTATTTGTGATTTGAAGTCAGTGTGTAGGTTTCCTCTCATCAGGAGTAATCTATCAGTTTTTTAATAGCCCTGCATCTACGTGTGATAATTAAGCTCTGATTCACATAATCATGCACAACTTTCCTGCAGTTGAGACTTGAAGATCTATCAGAATTTAGAATTGAATGCTCCATAAAACACTGTGGTATGATGATGAGTTTTGCAGCACAGGTGGTTGACCAGCAAGCAGACCCTTACCTTTCTGGTGCAGGCCCTTCTTCTCATAGAGAATAATGAGCTCGCTGTACTTATGGGCCTTCTTCAGGACGTACTCGCTCTCTTCGATGTGGCAGTGGTTGTTTTCCAGGCGAAGGAGGGGGGACACCAGGGCCACGTTGGTCTTAACGGGGGGGGAGCAGATTACAAAATGTGAACACCACACATTTCCAAACTTGAATCCATTCACCCCTTTTAAAAGGTCAGGTTGTGTTTCACCAAAAGACTACAGGGCAGGTGATTTACACTGATTAGTTCATCTTCTCTGTTTCCCAGGATGTTCATTTAAATAATCTGGTGCAGATGCTTGGCACTCTTGTCTCAGAGTATGTCCAGTCACTCCCAGCTTATCCCTCCAGGGTGATGTAGGTCTAAAATGGGAGTTCCTCTGATTAATGGTGCTTATTATACCTCCAAGGGAAGCACCTGGTGGTGCTTTTTCCTGGATACCCATGCCACATGAACTGACTCGTCTAAACGTGGAGGACAGGCAGAAAGACTCTTGGTCCAACAGAGTGTTTTCCTCTTCACACAAAGCCCAACCATCCTGAGGAGAAACTTTTTCTGGCTGCTTATATCTGTGATCTCAATCCAGCAGAAGTAGCTTTTTTATACCGTAGATGAGGGTTGACAAACAGATTGCCTGGTAAATCGAAAGTTTTGCTTTGTTGCCCAGGCATCCACTTCCCTAAATTAACACCAGACCCACATTACTGCAGCTACTACACCTAGATGGCAGCCAGACTCAGTACTTTTAACTGTGACTCAGGTTTTGTTGCTTCAAAGTAAATCTACCAATGAGCCGCCTAACAGAAAACCCATTTGGCTACGTGTGAGACAAAGTTAAGTGCCCAGTGCTGCTGCCAATGTTTGGAATGACTTTCTTTTGATATCATACCACTTTGCTGTGAGTGGACGGTAATGACTGCCAAGTTCATAAGAGCAGACATAGCTTTTATATTGAAATGTAAAAGTTTGGATTGGGTTCACTAATAACTGCCGGTTGGTTGTTAATCAAAAAGTATGACAAGTCATGAGTGCCAAAGAGAAAGAAACAGATTAAGAAGGAAATAAGTCTGTTTTGGTTGTTTTGTTTGACTAAAAAGGAACATAATGTACAGAGTATATGCTGTATATTCTGCAAGACACTGAATTATCAATATCAAGTAATAATTATTGTTCCAAAGTTGCAGTTTGGGCTGAAATTGCTCCATTTGTTAATGCATAAACAAAAGGAAGATAGTCTAGGTAGCCTTACGTGCAAGTAACATTTCAGCAGGGTGGTGTCAATGATCTGCAGGAGTTTTTTGCGGCTTTTAATAGTAGGTGTCCCCTCCATGAGTGGAGACGTTGTAGAAGGGTCAGAGTCATTCAGCTGCTTCACAAGGTGGCTGCGTTTCTGTGGGGAGAAACAAAAAAGAAGATTTACACCAATTATCTTGATCCTCATCCTTAATATGCTTTTATTATTACACAACCGTTGGGTTTTTGTTAGTTCTCCTCTAAGTAAAGCCTCATTCAAAGCTTAAATCCTCTACACACACACACACACACACACACACACACACACACACACACCACACACACACACACACACACACACACCCCACACACACACACACACACACACACACACACACACACACACACCTGGGTGAGGTAATCGATGAGAGCGAGATGAGCCTTCTCCAGCTCTGCCCCAGACAGAGTAGGCAGAGGGTTTGGATAGTGCAGCTGTTTGCGGTAGTCTGACGGGAGCAGGTCGGGGTACAGCCCAATCACATGAGTGGGATCTGCAGAGCACGGGAGGGGAAATTTGTCATACTTTATTGCACATATGATACTTCAGTTTGTTTATCAGCCGTTTGATTAAAGGGAAAACTGATTTGAGTACAGCGTTTCCAATACAATCACAAAACATTACGTGTACTGTAAAATGAAATGAAATCAATAGCTCATCAGAGAAAAGAAAAGTCTGTCATCAGTATGGAATTCATTCTTTCATCATTACATGTGAAAGTCATATGTGAATAAAAATATTTCCCTCAATATACACAATAAGCAACAGATGTCTAATGAGCTCAGGAAAAGAGAAAAAAAAAGTAGGGGAAGAGTACATGTGATAAAATTATGACCAGATTTACGTTAATTAGGCTGTGATACAGAAACAGGGACCATTAGGGGCGTTTATCACACTGGGACACATCGGATCATCTCCTCAAAGTACAGTCCACTATATTTACTTTAAGATGTCCACACTATGGACACTTATTGAGCCCTATGTAGTTAAACAGCCACGTGTTACAGGTTAAAATAAATAAATATTGGAAAACATACAATTTCATAGAAGTGTGGGGGGGGGGCTCACCTGTGCCGAGTTTGGCAAACACCTGCATGGAGTCATCGAATCTCTTCTGGCAGAACAGATTGAAGGCATAGAGATTCTGGATGTGATGTATCTGCTGCTTCTTATCACCGTCTGAATCATCCTTCATCTTCTAGCAGAAAAAGAAAATTCATCATGCTACAGTTTTTTTTATGAGAATGTGTGAAAAGCACATGAATGGCCTTTATTCTGGGAAATGCCCTTGGAAAGTTAGATTGCTACAAAGCTGGGAGCACTTTACTGTTTCAACGTACAGCTTCTAATCAAGATAAGTGATTTTAAAGTTCAATCCTCTGAGTTGAAGCGCTCATTTAATCGTGAGGAATTTAATAACGAGGTTTAATAGTGAGGGGTTCTGCTGCTCACCGCCAGCTGAAGAGCCAGCTCAAACTGCTTGTCCTGAAGAAGCTGCCGGATTTGGCTGGCTATTGATACTGGCACCAGACGCCACACAAAGTGGTTGCTGGCGACATACACAATATTTGGCCTGTGAAAGATAAGAGGAGAAAACTGGATTAGCGAGAATAGTTTGGAACTAAAGTGTTTGCTTTGTAAGGAGGAACTGACATCATCAGTATCATTATCGGGAGGAACAGAAACCAGTGATGAGGCAAAGTGGCAAATCACACATGATGTTCTTTTAAGGCTGTGGTGCAAACAAACCAGAGTGGTACACAAAGAAAAGCCAACATTCATTATCAAATCTATAAGTTTAAGCTGGGCGTCGTACAATAGCCACTGCAGGGATTTTTATTGACCTCAAACACTGCAGTACTGCACCATACTGCTGCCACCTTGCTTATTTTCTTATTATAACATGAATGTTTTCTCATTTTAACAAGATATTTTTCATGTTGTCAGACATATTTTCTTTTTATAACAGCATATCATCTCATTTTTATTGCAAGAAACCTTTCCCATCATAACACAAAATAAGAAATGTTTCTCACAAAATAGTAAGTGTTATTATACAAGACAACTCATTTATCTTTCAATGCATTATGATTCTTTTGACCATTTGATGAATGAAAATGTAAAAATGTGCAACAATGCAGCCAGCATGATGTAAAAGGTCAGACTTGTACATAAAAGAAAAGACTAAATTGTGCTATATTTCAGTGAAAATTAGATATTCTAACTGCAGTTTATATGTGCGCATAAGTCACTTTGTGAGGATAAACATCCTATAGAGATTACAAATGACAAATGAGATGACAAAACTTCACTGGAGGACAACTCACCCTGCTGAAGTAATGAAGCGAGGCCTCTGCAGCTCCACACTCTGCACCAGCAGCCTTGGCTCAAAGGTCCGGATCTCCACGTACCGAGGGAGAACAGCGATGATGTACGGAGGCTGGTGCTCTGAGAACATTTGAAAAGAGGCAAGAGTGTAAAACTTATGTGCACGTCAACCAAAGCCTAAAACTTAAAAATATTACATATCTTCTTCCAGTCATCAAATATTTGTGGACTGAAGTTGCTACGTGGGTCTGACAAAATGGATAATACAACACAGTCTAAACAAAGGGTTCACCTTTTTAAGGGAGAACAGGTAACTAAAGCTGATTTTTACTTTGTTTATTGCCACAATATATTTTTTTCGTTTTGTTCGACAGTTGACAGCAAAAAGGCAGACGGCAAACAAAGGGGAAGAGAGGGGTGTGACATGCAACAAAGGCCCTCAGTTGGAAACGAGGGGACGTTTTGGTTACGTGGCATGTGCAGTAAATATTTGGCAACCAGGGCGGTCCTACAATTTATCCCACAAGCAACTATTTGCACTAACTTTTACCTTATCTAACCTAATCTACTCTGTATTTTCTTGATTCATTGATTAAAAAACATTCCTTGTTTGTCCAATCAATAGTATCTCATCCACAATGATATAAAACTGAGAGAAACAGCATATCCACACATTGGAGAAGCATGAAGCAGTGAATGGATGTATTTGCTTTGATCCAGTAATCAGTTACTAGACTGTTTCAGCTCTAATGAAGTTTGAGAGTTTTGATGTCCACCCAACCTAAAATCTTGAGAACAGGTGCCTCAGTTGTGATTATGGAGTGAAGACCTTGAGGCTAATGGGGCAGGAAATCCAGCCGGAGACAGCTATCTAGACAGGCCTGAGCTGAGGTTGGACTGGATTTGGGACAGACTACGCCCATAGGCCCTCCGCTCCAGCCATGAACACTTAGGATGGACAGTCAGATGTATTTTGAACCGACCAGCACTCATCCTCTGCTGGTGCGCGCCAAAGCCGCAATGTTGACTGTATCAAAACAAGGAAATTGCAAACTGTATGAAACCACTGCTTGGAGGCTTCATTTCCCCTTCACATTGTTCCTTTCAGCATTCCAATGAGCACGGAAAGCGAGGCCTTTAAAACAATGCGAGAGCTCATCTGCATCACTTCTGTCACAAAGCTCATTTGTAACCCAGACCTGTGGTGTCTTCTTCACGGGATAAAAAAGCTGATCTAAAATTATGTTTCCTCTTCTGACATGTGGAAAACGGCAGCCCAGCTCAGACAGAGTGGAAAGAAGGACTTTGCACAGGGGATGGAAAGCTTGAGGAAGAGAAAAGAAAAGACAGACAGCAGCTCCATGACAACAACTGACAAAATAATTGGCAGCATTTACGCTTCATCAGGTGGTTTAGTTTCCAATTACTGCTATGTGAACAAACTTGTTCAATCAGTGTGACAAGAAGAGAATAAATTGTACTGCTTACGCACAGGCCAAGTCAACATAGACAACATTTCTTAACCAGTCAGTGAAATCAAACAGCAGCAGACTGAACACTTTATACAAATGCAGTAAAAGCTGCATACAATTCAAGATCATATGAACTATTCATAAACAGAAACTGAAACCTCTATCAAATGATGGAAAGGGGAAGATGATGCACTTATGTTTGCTCCTTTGATCCACCTAAATGTGCTCACACTTGGGCCGAAAAAGTTTGAATTGTGATATATTTGACGCTGACTATGATTTCTAATTTGGGTGTGAAACAAACACCTGCCTGTGACCTAGAAAAAGGCAACGTTTACAGCATTCACTGAAAGTGTGATCTTCACAGCAGCTTGTCTTCCATCCCGACGTGCCAAAATGCTGAAAACCTGTATCTCCTTGTGCTACTTCCTCATTTTGTCCTCTGTGTTTTTTTTCTCTTGCCAGTACAGAAAGCTATTATGATTATGTGAAAACTGTTTAATATTAAGTAGTCTGATAATTTATAGCAAACAATGTCCTTGGCAAAATCAATAGATGCTTACTTTTGAGATACCATAAACTCTAATGAATAATAATAACAGTTAATTAAATTGTGACTAAGAGGGCAACGTTCTGTTTGTTTAATACTGCAGCTTTTTTAAGGTTTTACTGTTTAAAATGAGTCACAAGAAAGCACAAGAAAATAATTAGGCTGATTTTGTTTTTCCCCCTGAGTGATATCGACTGCCAGGGGTGACACATTTTGGCAAAACACCTTCTCCCCTCCTGCTTTCTGGAAGACTAACTCACATAGAGAGCCAGGAGGGGATCTCTGGCTCTTGCAATTCAGCAATGTGACCTTTTGACTTTGCTGTCAGTTCCTATTGATATTGAATACAAGTTAACTCTGGCAAAGACATCGACAGTCATAACAGGGTAGAAAAGCTACTTGGACTGGGGGTGTAGTAGCTCGTTTTGCATATAAGCAGAAATAGAACAGCATGAGCAACTAATGTCAACAAACCGGTTGCAGAAAACACATAAAAACACATCTAAGTGTAAAATCACACAATTACTGAACATGAAAATGTCTTCATAGTTGTTGTGCCTCTTTCTCACCCATTGCTATAGGGATGTCGGTCCAGTTCAAGGCACACTTCTGGGTGCAAACGCCCTCTTCATTTAGCACTACGGTTAGGTCATCCTGACCAACAGCCACCTTCCCATCAGCCAGTGGGGCAACCAGAGGCTCCAACTGTTTCCCAGTGGGGAAGAGCTCCTTGATGGAGCCACGACCATCCATCTGGTTGACGGGAGAGATAGCACGAGTGAGTCATGAGATACAGAACCTATTACTAACATCTTAAAAACTTAATCTGTCAGGTCAAGTACAAAGTGCTTTGGACAAACAGTAAAACAGCATTAAAGAAAAGGTTAGACTGGCAATAACACTACCAAACATTAGCTGAAGAAGCCCAAAATAAACACAAACTCAAGGACAACAAAACAGACAGTAGCTAATTATATAACAGACTGCTTCTAAACTTTGCAGAAGTGGTATAAAAATATCATTTTAAAGTGATACTCCTTCCAAAACCCATCTATGAAAACACTCCCTGCACTGTACACTTGAAAGGGACTGACTAGAGGTTTACAGTTTTCATAGTTTCTCTCACAGAGAAAAAGATTCAACATGGCGATGTTTAGAATAAACTGAGCACACAGACGGACAGCGGAGAAGTGAATTAGGCTTCATGAGCAGTTCAGGTGGTTTTCTATGGGACGTCACTGAAAAACTGTCACCAATGGGATCCATTTTACTGCAATGAATACACACTGCAAACCTTTTACAGCCTTCCTGAAAGACTACATGGCGTGAGCATTTCATATTCAAAAGATGACAGGAGGTTATGAGAGGAGTATCACTTTAAGCTGTAGGGAGCTACAGATAAGAAAGGGCTGAGTGTAAAAATCCTTTTGCACATACCCGAATGAGGTAATAGTCTCGTTTGAAACCAACACATATGGAGTTTTCACACCAAGCCATGGACTTTGGAATATCTGGAGCACCAAAGTCCCCCTGACAGACAAAAAGAAAACATTGTCTTCATGTGTCAAAGGATAGGGAAAACAGTGCAGTGAGTCACATCTCAAATATATAATTTACCTGCAGCTCGTGGAACTCTCTATCCTTCCAGTAATACAGCTGGAGTTTCTTTTTCACTGCGACACACATTCTCAACCTTTCCTCTCCTGTGCTGGTTAGCTGCGGACAAAGAAGACAAAAAATACAATTCATGACTTCAAATCAGGGAAATTTTTAATACAACACAAAAAAAAATGCTATGTCTCTATTGATTTTGTAACATAACAGCCCTAGGGCTGATTGAATAATGCAACAATGTGCAATATTATAATCACATAGATGGCTAATGAGCCCACCCCTCCCTTCCTCCCTTCACCAGCCATCCCTCACTACCATAACACATCCCTTCCCATCCACCCACCCACCCCTTTAGGTCCGACCACTAATTTCCACAGAATATGTACCGATTCTAAGAAAAAGGAACAAATGAAAACAGTAGTGAGTTAAAAAAAACAAGACCGGGGGGGGAATAAAACAACCATGTGTGACACACATGACACTTTCCAATACTTATGTGAATAGTAAAATGAAAACCTTGTTGTCTATAGAAAGGTTATAAAACCACATCAAATCTTCTTATATTCTCCCTTCAGGTTATATTATATAATATATTTTCATTTGGTATATGTGTCGTTCATTTATTAGTCCATCTAGCCAATTTAAGCTTGGTTTTATTTATGTTTTAGTCCATTTACTACAGATTGTGTTTATCTTACTGCCGCTTAACATTTTTAAACATACTGTTGGATAGGTGTCTAATTTTCTCACCTTTAAGGTAGCCACTGTTTCTACTAATTTCAATACAGTCAACAAAACAGAGACTTGACACATGCTGGAGCTCTGTAATCCATAACAATAAACATCATATGCATTTTTATTCTTGTCAAGGATATGTTAGCAAACTCTGATTCAAAATGTATAATTGGTTGTGTTTATGTGCTGGTGGGAGGCAGCAGCATGTGAGATGTGTTGATTCGGCTGAAGGAGAAGTCAAATCTGCATATAAAATTGTAACGACTCTTATGTCTCCTGAACTTTAATTGCTTTTGTTAGTTCAAGCGTTACTAAAGCATTACCAAAAATATGCAATATGAAGGATTACCAATCTTAATCCTTCAAGGTTTTTTCCCCTATCGCACTAAAATTAATTGCAAATCAAAAAAAAGGTTACATGCAATGTAGAAAACAAAGAAATACACACATTCAAAAGGCTGAAAGAAAGAAAGTTGAGCTCAAGGAAACAGTCAGCAGTAATATGAATTATACTGCACACAAGTTGCAGTAAATTGGTCTTGTTATGACACACTCAAAGCTCCATGTTCATTAAACAGCTCCCTATTAAGACACTGACTCATCTGCCTTTTCTCATCCAGTCAACTAACTTGTAGCTGTACGACTGTAGTATTTTACATACTGTAAAAGTGGAAGATTATAAATCTGAAGCGATACAAATGCAGAAATATGATAGTATGATATATGACGATCCTAGACTGCAACCACACTGGAACTGTAACTGACCTGCAGGTCACAGGCGAAGAGCGTGGCTCCTTTGGCTTTGGACAGCACAGTGATCTGCTGGAAGGTCAGGAGGTCGTGGACGTGGATGTTGTTCTCTGCAGGAGAAACAGATCAGACACAGATATCTGATAAGAGTGTGATGGTAAGTGCTATGCTTTGTGTCAACACACAAAAAGATAATGCAGTAATAAACAGACGAAGATGCTACCTGCATGATCTTTTAAATTGATAATATACAGTATATATAAAAAGGGAGAGACACTTACCCAGAAGGCTGACAAGAATTTTGTACTGTGAGACAACATAAAGCTGTAGAAAGAGTAAGAGACACAATTAAAGGAGGTTTGTAACAAATGAATCAAAGATCAACCAGACTTTTATGTAGACAATACAAATAGATCACACCTGATCTGAGAACACACTTTATCTGGGGTTGCTCTGGGTATGAGCCAAATTCAGAGTGAAATGAAGCTTGTGTTTACAATCTGGACTTCCCTCGCCAGGCTACAAATGCTTCCTCCACTCATAATTTTTGACAGACACATAAAATAGTCTGTGGTTATTCTCAATCTCATCCTGCAGTCTTATCTACCTGCTGAATCTTCTTTGAGAAGTTCTTATTGGATTTTTCCAGCGTCACCTCAAACCGGTTGGTGCCTAAGGGAAAAAAAGAGACATACAAAAATGACTAAAAACTCATATTTGAAGCAGGCAACAGTAAGTTTAAGGTCTCTGCAAATACACACTGAAACGATTGCATCACACATCCCCCTGGACTCTACCTGCATCCTTCTTTATCCGGTACAGAAGAAGATGCCCGGGCTTTGTTCCCACAAGCAGCCAGTCCTCTGTGGGAAGAAAATACACAGAATCAGGGGTCTGACAGTTCAAAGGATGCTGTCAGGCCATCAAACACAAAACATTTCCCCTGTCTAACTCTTTTAAGTTGCGTGACCTGCTTGCAAGGAACTTCTAAGACAAGTGGGACACCTGAGACTGCAGTTCAATAAACGCCCATTGGGACCACCTCAATGTCAAAGGATAAAAATAAAAATAAAAAAGGAGTAGCAGCGGGATCCGTAGAGTGTCAACAACTCACCCCAGGCCGCAAGACAGTCAATCTGCAGGGGGAGCTTTTCCAGAATAGGCACTGGCTCATACGCGTCGTGCATCTTGAAGCTGTATCGGTGATTGAATTACAGATCTGGTGGATCAATCCCGGCTCGGAGGGGACGCCTGGCCGGGCAACAGCTGACTGGCTGACCGCTGATGTGTCTGTCAGGGCGGTACGCCTTTACGTGTCGCCATTAACCGACGATGAGGAAATCTGATCTGGTGAAGCCTGGTGGTGTTTCTCACCAAAACAACACAGCTGATCGTTAGCCTGCTAGCCTAGAAGTTAGCGAGCAACGGCTACTGCTCCTAAACATTGCCCCCCCTCGACTCCCACTCCCCACTCCAAACCGAGGCGCGAACAAAAGGGCAGCCAGTTACTTTATCGATAAACACACACGCAACATTTAGTTCACGTAAACCGCTGTATTGGCTCGTGTTTGTTAGCCAGATTAGCTCCTCGTTACTTCCTCGGTTGCGTTGACGACGGCTGCGCGAGGGAACGGGGTTTGACAGGCACGTGACCCGAAGCGAGCGCACTCACGAGGAACGCGTTAAAGGGGCAGTGACACGTTTTGTAGTCTCAGCTGATAAAATGCTGCTGCTCAGTTCTCGCGAGATTTGGTTTCGCGGAGCTTTAAAAAGTCTACCTGTCGAGAGTTTACGTTAATTAAAATAAAATAATTAGAGTTTTTTTATTGGGGAAAACCAGTAAATAAATAATCATAAGTTAAATAAATAAATAATAGTAAATTAAATAAATAAATATGAGTAAATTAAATAAATAATAAGGATAAAAACATTAGAGAATTTAATATTTTTACCTGTTTGTACTCAAAAATGTTTGTTGAATAAAGTTAACCCAGTTTACTTATTTTAACTTTTTCTTATTTTTTGAAGACAAACAAGGGGAAATTTTGTAAAATTATTTCATTATTTCTGGCCAAACAATATATGCATAATGTCGAGTTTAGTACACTTCTGCCTCCAGTTTTTTTTTATCAGTTATTTAATTTTAAGACATTGAAGTGCATAAAATAATCTCTAAATATTTACATTTTATTATCAAATATTAGAAATGATAAATATTATAAAAATACTTGTTTCAATTCCTGATTAGATGTAATGTTGTGTTGTTGTTTCATTATTATTTTAGTTTAGTATATATTTTTGGATACATGTGTTGTTTTGCTTTTAAAAAAAAATATGTTTAATGTTGCAGCTCATTTTTTGGAAATCGTTGTTGTTGCCTAGCATCTCTAAGCACTAAAAAGCATTCTCGGTTCCTCCTGTAAACAAGACAATATGTGTAAATGTAAAAAGTATTTAAAAAATGTGTCCTAAATGCACAAAAATCCGACACTGTAACCATGTTTCAATAAAAATTTTATTTGCAGGACATACGCAAAAAGCCATACAATATCATCAGCTTCACATGACAATGCAGACTCACATCCAGAAATTGGGCTTTAGTGTCTCTCTAAAATGAAATATCCTCAACAAGACTTGGATAAATATAAAAAAAAACATACATAAAAGAATTTAGAGTATCCACACATACTGCAGTAGATTGCACAAGGACGGGGATATAATTCTGCCAGATAAAGTGACATTATTTAGCAGTATCAATGGGATAGCCACAAAGGAATCTCTTATTGTACTGAAATGAAATTTAGCTTTTTTTTTTTTTTTAAACTATCCTGTGCTACTGAATTTGGGTGAGGACCTTAAAATAACACTTTAATAAATACTAATAAAACTCTGGCCTAATTAGTGGAGGGAGTGAGATACGATTACATACATACAGTAAACCACACCACCTCCGTGAGGCTTATCAATGGATTCTGAGATTCAGTAGCTAATAAAATAATAAAAAAGTTTTCACTTTGGTGACAACAACATGAAGTGGACCAAAAACATTGCTGTTAAGTGAAAAGCTTTCTAGTGTTTATAATAAACATCCTTTAATTTTAGACTGATGACTCCTGCTTAAAAACGGGTCTGGAAAATGTTTTAGTATTAGTGTCGTACATTTTCACCGCTCGCTGAATCTTTTGTTTGTGAGAAGCTTAAAAATCACCAATATTAGAGATGCATTTTCATCAGGTTGAACTGATCTGTGTTAAGATGACATGATCCGGTTTAACGCCTTCATGACCAAGAGGGTCATTACATCCTCTCAGCCCAGAAAACACAAGAATCCCCAAAAACAACAGATGTAGCACGTTGTACCCTGACAAATGTGATATGCTTCAAGTATCAATATTCACTGATGCAGCCGTGTTTACAGAGTAACAATAGCTTATTTATTTCTATACTCAGGATTACTCAGTTAGCCAGACAACAAAGTGTTAGTTATGTGTTAACAATAAGACACATATATATATATATATATAAAATTTTATTGGTGCAGCTACAAGAAATGAGCTCAGGGAATCTTCACTGGTTAGGTAAAAGCATTGAAAGCACTGTTTTTTAGTTATCTGGCTAAATGGTTAATCATACCATATATTTGCTCATTTCAATATTATTAAATATATTTCATTATGTGACCCATTAAATATTTAACGCAATAAAACACATGCTGAAAACACAATTTTTTTTAAATCTGTATTTTATGGCACAGCACACCTCTTAAGTGTCTGTCACTGTGTTAAATGTAACCTTATTATGCACAATAACTTGGTGTTTTCAGCATGTGTTTTCCCCTCCATTCGTACCATCATCTGATTTCTTGGCTGAGACAACTGCCAAGCATTATGATTTATACTTGAACAGATTAGAAATCAGTCCTCACAGTCCTACAAATTTGACCAATCAGGCGCCGCGGGCACTTCTTCAATTTGAAGCGGGCGATGAAACTCTCAAATGTTTTCACATCTTGCACCCCCAGTGCTCAAGAAAAAACCACATGCCTCCTTAAATATTGTATTAGTCTAAAACCCCAGGACAGGATTTTGATAAATATTCTATTTTTCTTCACAAGGGCGTTGTGTAAAAATGCCCACATTCTGCTTGATTTGGGCCGTATTCGAGAAGAAACACCTTTGAAACAAATAAAACATTCATCAAAGTGCTCAGTTGCTTCAATTTCACCCCCTCCCACAATGCCGATCTTGACATCAACAGCCAACCCTTCCAACCATGAGTGGCACAGTACCGCCTTAATATAAACACACTATTCATGCTTCTTTGAGCTTATCGTAGTGTTACACAATACCTGTGACATTAAATTAAAAAAGTAAAGTGTCTGGAGAGAACAGTTGGCTTTGCCCACATTTTTTGGTAATCCGATCACTCAGAACGCATTCATTGCTGCCTCAGTGAAATTGCCTTCTTTTCATTCTCACATCACCCCTCGCATTTACTTCTACTCCATTTTGGATCGCTCCATCTTGTTTTTCAGGATTTCCTGGAAACAGAGAACACAGATTAATGCATGTACAGATATAACCAGGAGCATTTTAAATAGAAATCATGGGACTAGCGGGGGGAGTAAAAGAACCCTTTACCTCTTCTTCATCTAGCATTACAGGGAGAGCTCTGTATAGAGAGGGGGGGAAGAGAAAGAGGCTGTGAATGTATTCACACAGTCAGGTCAAACAACATTTTAAGATATTCTATACAGCAGTTTGTGCTTCAAATGTGTTGCTTATCTGAATATTAAGAGTACATCTTTCTAGTCTGTAAGCTACATTAATACACTTGCATAAGCTAAGCCAATATGTCATATTAAGGATTACAGTTTTAAAGCTAATACCTTTCTCTCACAAATTCCAGGTAGAGTAAAACTGTATTTTTATAGCACTCTAATGTGAAGCTGTTATTAAGATATTATCAAAGCAGCCTTGAGACTGCCAAGCGTCTAGCACTTTAATTGACTTACACATCAGCTACAGTTGTAGGAATGTTCTCCTCGACCCATTTTAGGTCTTCATCCTGGCAACAGCAGTGTTTAGAAATAGAAAGAAATATTGAATCATGTGTGGAGAACAATTGATGGCTAAAAGATGAGAAATGTTGACAGAAGACATTGAACCCACCTCTTTACTCAACAGTTTCTGGGACCCATTAGAGTCAGGCTTTGAGCCTCTCATCTTCATTCCTTCTAAAAAAAGAAAAGAAAAAGATAAGCCAATTAAAATCACATAGAAGTCTCTTGTCCAATAATACGATCATAACAAAACTAGGTTATTACATTTTCTATTTATACCATTATATGATTATAAGATGAACATTTCTTTAGATCGTGGCCTCAGTAGCACAGGGTTATACAACACAACCGTTGACAAGGTCATCTTTATTGGATCTGAGGTCAGTTGTGAGCAGACTTAGAGTATTTTGTTTGTGACAGAGGACAAAAATGAATAGAAGCTCTGCGGTTAAACTGGAGAACATTGCTGGCACTATTACAGACATCCATTAGGACTGAACAGAAAATAATAGTTAAATATGGAGCAATTAAGACACCATCAGAACAGACTGTGACTTAAGTGTTTTCACATTTAGTGTGTTGATGTGACAAACATGAGGAAAACTCTCTTATCTTTATCCCTGCAGTTCTTATGGCTCTGGGATCTACATTACACTATTTAAGCACTGGGTTGTATATCAAGAAGCATACAGTCAGTTCACCTAAATCTAAACCTGGCTTTTGGCCTTCAAATCAAATTCAGAAAAGGAGAAGATATCTATATTTATATACAAATATGAGCTCTAGTAATGCTAGCTTTTAATGGATACTGGATTCGAGCACAGATACATTATGTTTAGCACACAAGAAGACGATGCTGGTTAGCTGGCTAGCCCCCAGGAAGAGCGCCGTGCTTTGAAGCCAATTTGACATAGAGGCAAAATCATGTAACAATGGCAATGGCGTCTGTCATGTGGTGCACAGGGAGAACAAATTACCTTTTTTCCTACATTGTGAAAGAAGCAGCTGTTAAATGGTGGATACATTTTTTGTGTCACAACCCCTGTGAACGATTTCACCATCAGAATTTTATCCATTTGGTCCAATAAGATTTAGATTAAGTCTAGAAGAGCTGCACAATTAAATAATTTGATCCCCATTCAAGTCACTGGAAGGCTAAACCTGAAGTTAGTGACTCGGCCGGCAGAAATCTGTGGTGCACTTGCTCTATGGGCGCCACAATGCAGAAGCATATATGGAAGATCTGGGTAATTTCATACTGGGAAATTTAACTTTTTTTGGCTTCATGAGCTACTGAGCAGCTTCCATGAGGATCTGGACAGCCCACCACATATATTTGTTTTCTAAAACACTGAATAATAACAAATTAATGGCTGCTCTCGCCATGAAAAGCAGGAGAATGATAAGTCTTACCAAAAGCTTCATTCAGCATGGGCTCCTTGGCCTCCTCCTCTTCATCATCATCATCAATCAGTGGAGAATGGGAGAACCTGAGAGAGAGGAGAACTGAAAATGAAATACACCAACTGGCAACTATAAAGGACAGACATGGTTTGGGGCTCCGGCATCAGGCCTAGCT